GTCAACTCTGCTGGTCAGGGTTTGGATCGTCTGCGAGCCACTCACACAGGCAACAACCCTTTCTATAACCAGCAGCAATTTGTCCCGCAGTCGACAGGCTTCGCTCAATCCTCGAACAACCCTTGGGCCACTCAGCGGCCCTACCAGCAGCAGTCTCAGGGCGGTGGCAGCCTGATTGACTTGTAAAGCGAGTCACAGTTGAAAACTGTTTATTTCTTCCATCAACTCTGGTGTGAGGAAATGTTCATTGATTGGGATACCACGGTTGTTTTTCTCCCTTCATATTTAGCATCCTTCGCTGCTTACTCATTTTCTTTCTTCGGTCGGGTTGTTGAATGTTCCTTTACTTTGATGCATTGTGAATACATAAGAGATGCCGGCTTCTCATTCCCTCTTGGCTCCATAGTGCTCGTCGCTCATCGTCAAGATCCACCTTTTATTGTCTCGTTAGCTCCGTGATTACTCGACCTGGCCCATCCTATTCTGTATTGTCCGTCTCTGGCCTACCATTTCCCTTTGTGATGTACTTGTCTTTATCGCCATACCTACTACCGCTTACATGCCTATTACTTCCTATTGTCAATGAGATGATATCTCCACTGAAATGACTTGCCCAAGATTGCTTTGAACCTAGGTTGGTGGGAGATTGACTGTATCTACCTTTAGTAAGTAGAAGTAAGTACCCCGTGGCGACAAGGTCACAGAGTATCGCTAGATATCGATCGCAAAGTTTAATAACACGACGAGCACTGATATTCGACCCTACCTTATCCATGCCCCTAAACATCGAGACCACGGAGATATAACACCGATGAAGATCACCACGATGAACCGTGGAGAACAGGGATACTATAAAGTCATTTCAAGAAAGCGCCAGCTCATCCGGTGCCACCAATACTATGTATGTACCTATACAGAACCCCTTCAAACCGAACCAGCCGACCGAACAAGCCAACCAACCAACCATAACCTGACATGTAAACCACCCGAGTAAGACAGTGCTGAAACAAGCTGTGCGGAAACACCGAAGACCGAGGAAAGTGTAGGATGGACTCGAAGATGACGGTGACGATGATGAAAACTGATGAGCTAGCCCCGCAACCGGCCGATTGCTTGGAATCTACCTACGACGACTTGCAGAAGAAAGCGGATGTTGTGTGAAGTGCTAGAGGGAGAAGATCAGCCGCCCCGTTCGCCGAATTTACTGGCCCAGTCCTCGTATTCGCGTAATCCGTCGCGGCTGACGCTGGGTCTAATGGATTTGAGACTGGCTTCGAAGTCTTGGAAGCGGATGGGACGGATCTGGTCCATGGGGGTGTGGAGGAGGGCTTCGCCGAGGTTGCGGAGGGGACCCATGGCGGCGTCTTTGGCGAGGGCGGTGATGTCGGAGCCGGAGAAGCCTGTGATTTTTATTGATCTTGTAAGTAGGGTAGACAAGGAAATGGGGGTGGTGGATGACGGGATTACCCTCTGTGACATGGACGAGAACTTCAATGTCCTCGTCATTCAGTTCGTGCACCTGATGGCTCAGGAGCTTGCGGAGCTGTTGGTCGCGGACATGGTGCTCGGGCAGGGGGATGTACTGTCTGCGGACGAATCGCCGGCGAGCTGCTTCGTCTATATCCCAAGGCATGTTGGTCGCTGCCAGGACGAGCACCCGACTGGGGTCTCCCCCGGTCCTCTTTGTGGATGGCTCACGGCCGGCTGCTGCTCGTTGTAGGTCCGACCACTGGATCAGAAACTCCGTCTTCGATCGCCGCGAGGCTTCGTGTTCTGTTCCAGAGGAGCGCGACGAAAGGAGCGAGTCGATCTCGTCGACAAAGATGATGGATGGAGCCAATGCTTTGGCGAGCCCAAACAGCGCCCGAACGAGCTTCTCGCTCTCGCCGTGCCATTTGGAGGTCAATGTCGACGCGGAGACAGAGAAGAAGGTCGACTTCGACTCCGTGGCTACCGCTCGAGCGAGCATCGTCTTACCTGTTCCCGGTGGGCCGAATAAGAGCATCCCTCGAGCGGGTTCGCGAAGCCCAGAGAAGAGATCCGGGCGAAGAAACGGGTAGACGACGGCTTCTTTGAGCGCTTTCTTGGCGGCGTCCAGTCCGGCAATGTCATCCCAGTGGACTTCGTCCCCTCGTACGACAATATCATTGAGAATCTGCCGGGCCGCATTAGGGTCAATGCCCTTGGGTAGTTTGTTCATGATGTCCATAAGAGAGTCCTCGTCTTCATCTTCTTCCTCTAGTTCTTCGTCTGCGTCTATCGATTTCGGGCCTGTCGATTCTTGATCGCTTGAGGGCGGTGTAACTGTATGCGCGGGCTGTGGTTTGCGCCGAGTAGAATTGTCTGATACGTCCAATTGACTCACGGCAGGACTCAAATCCTCAGCTAGCGTTCGGGTGACAGGCTTTCCTGTCGAAGCGGAGTTGATTCGAGACCTTGATGTGGCCTTGCTTTGTGGCTTGTCCGAAAGGCTCGATGTGGCCTCGGGTCTCACTTTTCTGACAGGAGATCTTGTTAGGCCAATGTTGCTCGATTGTGGTCCTTGAGCTGAAGCTCTGAGCGCAACAGGTTTGGGTTTCACGGAGGGTCTAGGACTACTCCGGGGGATGTCAATAGGCTCCGATGATGGCTGGGTAAGCTTCCTGCTCCGACTGCCTGACGACTGCCGAACCTCACCAGCTGGAGAGTGATGAGTTGGAGTTGACGTCGGCACCGGTGTTGTGTTACTGTGTGTCCGTCGCGCAGACCGGACAGGTCGGGGCCTCCGGCCATCCGAGTCATCTGCCGCACTTTTCTTCGGTATAAGCTCATCCCCGGAGTTGGACCTAAACTGACCGGAATCTTTCCGAAATCCAGAGTCACTGGAGATGCTTTGCCGCGAGGACGTTATGGCAGCCTCACTCGCTAGATTCCCTGAGGATGAGGGGGACCGGTAGATGTTCCCCCAGGCTAAACCCGCAGCCTGAGACGCAGCTGGCCGCAATTCCTTCCGCCGAAGAACATCCTTGGTCTTGCTGTGCTTCTTGTGGCCGTCCGACTTGCGCAGAGTGGTAGGCATCGTCTTCCGTTTCTCGGGGCTCGAGTTGCGAGACTGGTTTTTGCCCGACGAATGCGATGGAATGCGTAATGCCGGTAAGCTAGTCGCAGACGCAACGCTGTTGTCCTGGATGACTGACTCTGAGCTCGCCTGCGTCACCGGTGCTGGGCGTCCTGGGATCGGCGGTGGTCGAGATAAGTCCGTATAATCCACTGGAGGTACCGTCCCGTCTCCGATCCAACCGGGTGTGTTCGAAGCAGGTGCCTTGGAGGCCGATTTGCCTTTAAAGAATCTGTGGCTGACACTGTTCGTGGTGGGGCCGTCCTTCTCTTGTGCGTCCTTTCTGCTTTCACGAAGAGCTTCCAAGAGATCGACTCGCTCTCGGCACTGAAGTTCTAGCTGGCGGATCGATTCTTGGAGCGCTTTTTCCGTTTCGTTCTTAGGTGTATAAGTCGACGACAGTCGGTAGGCGTTGTGATAAGTAATTGTGTCTAGAGCAGAGCGCCATGCTCTCAAGGCTTCATCTTCATTGTTCTAGGATATCAGAGCGGATTAGTACTCAGACAGAAAAAAAAAAGAATAGCAATTGACACTGAGCGAATAGATCCGACCGAGATAGGAAGGGAGGGGGCGACAAACCTGCCCCTCAAAGTATACGGCGGTGGAGCACGAGAGATAGCACTCATCGTACGTCTTCTGCAGCGAAGACGCAGCAGGCTTGGAGCGCATCATTCACGCCGGCGGAAATGCAGGACCCGCCCGCACCAGCCATGCGATCGACCACAATTGGATGCGGAGGCGAACTTGTAAGGTTGTCGGGAACCGAGGAGGCGATGTCGGGATGTCGAGAGAGTGGTACGGGTGGCGTGGTAGAGTATTGACTGAATGGATGAAGAATAATGGATGGACAGATGAAGGGAAGATGGAATCGATGGCCAGTGAGTCTGGAGAGGAACAGGAGGGTTGCAGGAAGTTGATGGATTGCTGATTTGATTTTTCCTCTCGTTTCCATCAGAAAGCACCTCGCGTGACGTCGTCGGTCCCCCCATTCTTGGAGCAAAGGCCGGATCGAGGAGAGACACTGCCCCACGGTGATATTGCGACTGTCATCGATTGGGATTTAATAGTTACTGGACAGATATCTGCTAAGCTTCTTGATCTTCTTCTACCAATTTCATAGTGTTCTTTGAGTTTTGGCCAATCGTTCCGTCTATGGAGTACATGTTCAACCAGATATTGGATCAAGCGAAGATCCCAAATCATAACCGCAGAAAAGACTTCCCTGCATGCCCAACGCCAGTATAATATAGAATACATCGGTCCAGCAGTAGAGCACGCTAAATTAGGAGCTCACATTGTTGCCTTGAAGACCTCATGGGAGGATCCGCCTCAAGTATGTTCCAGTGAAGAAAGAAGAGCTTCTATATCAAACCACAACACCCCGTCCCAACGAGAACTTATGCACACATTATCTGAACGGATAAGCATGAATCGGAGGAATGTATCCTCCACAAGGTGGCCCAAACATCGGGGGTGCCTGAAATCCAGGACCGCCTCGGAAGGGGGTGCGAAAGGCAAAGCGGTAGATGAGGGGGTAATCAGGGTCGGAGAGAGACGAAAAGACATGTCAGGAGAAGGAGGAATATGGAGGAAATATAGAAAACACATTGCAAAGTCTGTGACCGGCTCGGACAGAAGAATCCCAACCTGTGGGTTTGCCCTCTCCCTCCTGTTCTCCCGATATCCCTTCTCTTATGCAATATGCCGTGCAGGGCGATTATTGCCATTTGAAACATAGCTTTTGAATATATTCTTTTTTTTTTTTTTTCTGGATATTCTGAAAGTCCGATTTCCTATTAACTTTTCATGCTTGCCGATGGGAATCGATTCAAGTCGGATGAATGTTAGGTATAATTGCATCTATGTGACAGGGCCGTTACGGGGTAGGAGGAGCTGGAAAATTTCACTCCTGGCGTTTAAAGTACGCCTTGGCCATCTCGTACGATGTCCTGTACGCCCACGTCAGTTCTGAAGCCCTGTTCATGAGCGGATAACAACATACCAGCAAATCGCGGTACTGGGCATTGTGGAAATAATGCGGGGACGAGCGCCACGTAGGAAGCCTTTCCAGCCAAACTGGCGCTTGATGATGGCCGCCGCATTGAAAAGGCCCTTTGCCGATCGAATCTCCTCGTTCTGCGCCAACCCACGTGTCTGAAGAAGCGTCTTCACAACGTCCAAAGGAGTAGTAAGACCTGCAGCGAAGGCACCAGCGAGTCCACCAGCGATGCAGTGGGTGAAGGGGTCATAATCCTGGGACGGGTTCATCACTTTGGAGATCGACTCGTACGCCACGAATTGAGTAGCCGTGAAAGGCACCGTCATGCAGAGTGTAGTGGGGTATGAGACGTAGAATGCATGCAGACCCTCAGTGCGGTAAACGGACCTGGCGCATTGTAAAAGACTCTTGTGTACAGAGCCATGTACTTGCATCCGTTGCTTGATGACTATTTTCGGGCGTCAAAGGGGTTAAATTGGCTGGGCGATCGAAGACGACTTACCGTCAAATGGATTCATCAAAGCGTCGCTGGCAATGGTGGCGGCCGCTCCACTAGCGGCTTGGAAATGTCAGTACATGTTTTGCGTCGACAGAATTATGTATGAGTGCACCTACCGGCAGCAAGCGGGTGGTGGCCCTCGTCGACATTTCCACCGGCCATTTCCTTGACAATCTCATAAGTACCAAAGTACACGGCATGCGCCGGGCCTGCCCAATCAGGATTGTCAGCCTTTCCATATCCTTAAATATGCCATTGAAGTGTGCATCCTTACCAGCACCGACAATCACACTCGAGACTCCCTTCCATAACGTCCGCCAACCCTCGATCCGATAAATTGTTGAGACCGCATTAGTCAGGCCTGTGTAGAGACCTCCGGTTGTAGGATGTAAAACTTGCATGCGCGTCTGTCCGCAGCCACCTCAATTTTAGTTACGCGTTCGAAAGAGATGTTGCAGAATGATTGTCTTCGAATTCAACATACCTTCAATAAGTCTACCGGGTACATGACAGCGTGTTCCTTTCCTTCCGGTCAGTATCGCCTCACAGGCATCGCAAAAGTCCCAGTCTTCAACGGCAACATACCATTATCCCCGCAAAGGCACCAGCCAACATGTTCCGGCCGAGGCCATAGTTGGAGGGAAGGGCTTCGTAGCTGTCGTCGGATAGAGGTTAGCAGTGCGTCGTTGGGACTGGCAGTGCGATTGGGAGGGAGGAAGTCGATTCGCGAGAAGTAAGCTTCAGAATGCCTTCTCCTCGCGATACCGACAACGTTGCAATTGTGGAGTGTTGAAGCCTGTGGTGAAAATAGCAACATACTCAAATTCCTGCCCTGGGATCTGCTCGGGGACCGCCATTGAGCTCTGATAGCTCCGGACGCAGCCGGAGCCGCACGAAATTGAAAAAGGTTGAGAGGAGGAGAGGAGAGACCAGGAAGATGGGTGCTACAAGCGTGTCCGAAGGTTCTCTTTAATATCCCGATGAAAGCGGACTTTGGACGTAGCGACGATTCTCAGTTGGATTGAGCCTGCGGCAAAGAGGAGCGAGCTGGGCGCAAAAAGAGAGGACGACGGTGGGGAAAAAGGATCCGGGGCACAAGTAGAATTCAATCACCGTGAGCAATAAGTGATGAATCCCAATGCGAAGGGCAAAGGAGAGGACTAGGTGTATGTAGAGACGGATCGATCGGTAGGTGACAATCTTTCTGGAAAATCCAGGTTGGGGAAATTATTGCTCTTTTTCGTTTGCTGCGCTAAAGTTGAATGCCGCGGAGCTAAAGTCACTATTTCCACAGACAACTCGGACGGTCGGACCAAATCAACCGAGCGATGAAGACGATGCTGATTTTCTAGAAGTTGGAGATGATCAGACAAAGTGTAGGATCTATTACTCTAGATCTGGCACACATAGGTCTGGCACGATATACTGTCACCAGGAGCACCATGGTGATTAGTTGCTAATAATGAGGTCGTGGCTTCGCTGCTTAATCATCCATCAAGCCCAGACTACACCGAGGTTCCGATGACGGAGTGTTCTGGAGTATACTCATAATTATGAGGTACGAACCTCGAATATCAGAGAAAGCACAGGTAAAGAATACAACGACAAAAGCAGCTGAATCTTTCCATGCAGTCAGCGCATATTTTTCTTCCAGAAAGCCATGTCAACTGTTGCTTGTCCAGCATCTCATAACCCTGTTCTGTCCGCCACCCAGAACCAGATATCTTATCAATATCTGCACTGGACCCTCCGAGACCCGGAGGAAACCAAATAATGCCTTAAATACCAAGCCCTTGGTAGCTTCAGGCTTCAGTACTGCCGCTTATCTGATCCCATTAATCAGATTCTGAACCCCTAAGGTAAGTAGTAATCAGTAATCACCGATAACGTTACATAGCTGGCCTCCGAGGAACCGTTCCTCTTGGCTGATGGGATAGCATCAAATCGCCAGCCACTTGAGAATGAACGAGTACAAACCAACAACAGGCAGTCATGTTTATCATTTCCATCTACTCTCCTCATTTCATTAGTATCATTATTAGATAGTAGTAGCTAGAATTAACTTTTTTTTAAAAAAAATAGTTTTTGCCGATATCTCTAAGAGCCAGAAGTAGCATGCAATCTAAAAACCATTGCACGTAATTGCTATACCCTTCTACTTACCTAGTATATATTGACTCTTCTCAATCCACACAGGAGATATAGATTTAAAGGTTAGTACACTCCCTCCCTAGCTATCATCTAAATGATCAGTTGAAGAGAGATGAAACTAATGCATTGTTGCTAACTGATACAATAAAAGGGTAGATCACTGTCTCGCTAACTCCAGTAAAGACAGTCACACCGGGTGTAAACAGATAAATGTAATGATCTGGTATGAATCAGAAATAGAAACCATATGCGCTGTCATCATTCACGTCATGAAAATCCCATTCACATCTGGCCTGTTTGCCAACTTTTGACTGAAATATCAACATTTGGAACGGCTGGGCGTCTGTCGGCTCTATATAGTCTACCATTCAACATTGAATGACCAAACCCCTGGAGAGATGCCAAATGTCAGTTTCATACCGTGCATCAAACATCATGTAATATGAGAGAGCTTACCTTGTTTCAATTTCTGGGCAGTGTCACTAAGAAGGATCACTCGGCGTTTGTTGCAATATGCCGTCTTGTCCAGGATATCAACTTTCAGATTGGCCAATTCCGGCACGGGCTTCTCGAACATTTCGCTAAGACTCTCCACCGCGAGCTCTAAATCTTTCTGGTTGTCCTCGAAGATTTCCGTCAGGTTGTTTCGAGCAAGATAATATGCAAAGGCATAAGTCCACTTCAAAGTCTGTCGGCACTGCTGAAGTGCCTGAGATGCAGTATCGAGGAACTGGACCTCAATCCATGACAGGCCGGATTGAGATTGTAGGCTTGTCATCTTCTTTTCTGTCTTGAGGTAGAGATCTTTATCGAGCTTCGCAGACTGCTCGTGGTTAGCGTATCTGTTGTAGTAATGCAAGTATCTTTCGAGAGATGCTCGAGATTTCGCCTGCGCCGAGCGAGCTTCCGATCCTGATTTCTCTTCGTAGCGATTACAGTTGTACCAGCTGGTGCCGTGTTCAGACCACAGGCCCATGCACATCCAGCAGAACTCGTGTTTGCATTTGCGGCACGTCATATGGTTGCATCCTCCGTTCTTCTCAATCGTCGAATGGCACTTAGGACACTCCTTCGTGTTGGCCGAGATCCAGTTGGCGGTCTCTGAGTCGTCTTCACACTTCTGGAGCCACATCTTGACCAACGTGCAGGGAGACGGTAAATGATCGTTCAGCGTGCAGCCGAAGCAAAAGAAATGCTTACAGGCACATTGCACTGTGGGCACAATCCGATTGAGGTCGCGCTGCTTGACGGGACAGTCGACTGCGTACTCACAGTTTGGCGCCGGGCACCACTTAAGATTCTCCTTGTCATCAACATAGGTCCGCATCAACAGCGTTTGGTATCTGCAAAGCCAGCGTCAACAAGGATTCCGACACGACGAGTCCAACAGGACGAGACTCGTGCTGAAGACTTACCTCTCTTTGAGATCATCGGTGACAAGAAGACTTAAAGTCTTTGAATCTACAATCATATGGCAGCCATCCCCGGGACATTCTATCCTGGCAGCTTCGCCCTCTTCGCGGATTTTCTGCGCCAGATAATGTCGGTAGCAGCCGACACAGAAGCGATGTCCGCAGCGCATAGCATATGTCTCCAAATCGTCGCCATCCTCACAGCAAATGTCACATGTGAACCCTGGTACAACCTCTGTCTTCGGTGTCCCATCAAAGTTCGTCCCAAGACCAGCTTCCTCGAGCGTCTCCTCCGGATGATCCATGTAAGACTCTATGAGCTTCTCCCGGTTCCATCTCCCAAACCGTAGTAGGATAGCGGACGACTCTGGTGGCAGGCCCAAAATCTGCGAGACCTCGTTGACCTGCTGACTCTGCTCCCGATTGATATCCTCTGGGCTCAGGACTCTGAAGTCGACTTCGTATGGCTTCTTTGTGTTCCCTAGTAGATCCTTATCTTGAGAGAATCCGCCGTCGAACTCGTCACCGAACTCTAGCAACCGAAGAAACATCGCGTCAGCAAAGTACGAAACAGAAGATTGCTGCAACACACCTTCTCCTAGACTCTCGTCATCACTTCCCTGTGTATCCAAGAAGTCATCGGCACTGGACGCATCCGTCATAAAATCATCGTCTGACTCCATGCTGGTGGAAGCAGGCGTAACGAGATCGGTTGCCCTTTGCTTGTGTTGAACAGGAACGCTTTCCGACGTCACCGATATCAAATCTGTCTCAGAATCCAGGTCCTCGAGCTTATCCTTTCTGCGAGTAGTCCTCTTGCTTGGCGAAGTATTCCCAGTGGCGGTTCGCGAATCAGCGACGGAAACCTCGGTGGCGGTTATGGATGTTTCCTGGTTTGTAATCGCCGCCTCGGCCGCCTTCCTTTTCCTCGTTAGAGGAGGCGTGGTGAAGATCTGTTCCCCGTGGCAAGCCGGTATGTGCTGACTAGAAAAAAAGTAGGCCTCGACGTTGTACCTCGAGGCCTTCTTCTTTTCCGGGACAACACAAGTCGCAGCTTACCAAAAAGGTGGGTAACTATTTTCAGTCCAGGGACTGGAGATGGTGTCGACAGCGATGGAAGGGTAAACGGGACTATGCAACACTAGCACCAAACCGGGTCGTTGCGTCGCTTATCGAATTTCAGCGTCAAGGGAGAGAGCGAGGGGGGTGGTTAGTTATCGCGGATGACCGCTGGACGTCACGGGAGTGGGGGCGTCTAGGCGTTCAGAAGCAAGCCTGCACTGTTACCCAAGACATCAATCACTAATTGTTTCAAACTGACTGGTAGTGTCAAGGGGAAAGCCTGCAGAGAAATGTGGGAGTAGTGATAGTTAAGGAGTTGAGGAAACAAGTGAAATTCGTGAGGATGGCTCAGAGCTGATATGTACGATCCGACAGATCAGCAAGCCTCCCAGTCATAAAGGGAGGAAATCTTGTTCGGATGGCTCCGCTAGGAATCGCGGAAAGACCAGTGTGGGGAGAAATCAGAAGTACGCCTTATTGGGCTCAATAATTAGCCTACCTTTCGATATCCTTCAATGTTTCATGCTGCTACCGTTGGTTCCTCTGGGGACTCTGAGTATTCTTAGTGTCTCTTGCAGCGTCTGCTAAGATATCGATGCCTAGCTGACGGGTACACAGGGAATGTTCGAAGCAATGATGTCAGTTCATCTGTGAAAGCCTCAGTAAAGACAGCTTTAAGAATGGATTAGAACTCGTGAGAGATAGAAGTTATTAGTCACAGCATGAAGAGAGTGACTGTTAGAGATTATACAATGCAAAGAGAAGTGAATGTCACAGGTTCTTCCACTCACACTAAATGATTCGGTACTTAAATAGACCCCTTGGAGCCGTGTTCAGGCTACCAGTCCTAGGCAGCCAGGCAACGATCCTCCTCTATTCGAAATCAACTTTGTCTGTAGATAGAAGATCAATACATAACGACGTATCAAATCTTGATCATGAGTTTATATATGGCCCATACAATGGATATCATAACTTGCTCGTCTATGTTGATATACTGCCTGATACCGCAAAACTCGTTCCTGCCTGTCCTCCTTTTTGAAGCACATGACTACGTAAATGCTTGACTTCTCCTTCACTCTTCATCGGTCTCTTCCTCACTCTCGTCCTCTTCACTACTCTCCTCTTCCTCAGCATTGGCGAGCCAGTCCACAAACTGCTGAGCCTGACTCCGCACCTGCCTCATCTCTTCGCTGGCACTGGACCGCTCATCGGCCCACCATTGCTCATAGGCTTCCTCCTCGAAGACCTCCAAATCGTACAGCTCCTTAGCAGTGAATAGTAAAATTGTCTCGCCGCGAGGTCGATGTACAAGGTCCTGTTGGAGCAGGAGTAAAAAATCGACTTGGTCGGTTTTCTCATCGCTGCCTCGATCGAACATACACCGTTCGACAACCTCGCGATATGTGCGGAAAATGTCCCGAACCGCTTCACCAGCACCTTTTCCTCCTTCGATCAATTGTTGAATTCGCTTCACGAAGGCCGTGACGACAGCTCGTCGGACCTGATGGTCGGAGGCATTCGCAGTCATCCGCAAACTGACCAATTCCAACTGCACAACGTCCGACGTGACGCCGTCTTTCAAGCTGTCGTAGACACTGGCTGCTGCGTCATGGACGAAATGGTCCGAATCCTCCTCTTCAGAGTACGAAGTACCAAAGCTCTCGGATCGAGATCCGCCGAAATGAGAAATCTCAGAGGACAGGGTCGAAATAGATTCCGTAGAGAGCGAGAGCCGCGCCATGTTGTACACTGAAGAGATATTAGTACTCGATACCCATCCAAAAGCCGCGATGAGGAGCCTGAAAAGTATAAGGGAAGGTGCGTACCTAGTCCTGACGATGCATTGGATACAGTGTCGTCTTCGTCCTCGTCTTCTTCATGGAAAAATTCGTGACCTTCGCCTCCTTCACCGACCACATCCGGATCATTCGCTAGTAAGCCCCCATCTTCCTCTCTTGAGGCCTTTGTGATTCTTCTTCCTTCGCTCACGGTCACACCATCGGCGATTTTGACTTCGTATGAGAGAAGAGCGCCAGGCTCAACGCTGCAGTTATTGCCGACCACAACCTTATCAGCAACAATAGCCTGCCGAATCGTTGTGCCGTCGCCAATCACCACACCATCCCAAATATAGGCACCGTCCAAGGTAACATTTTTTCCGATCTTGCAGTTCCTTCCAAGAACCGTGTTCTTGACTGTCGTCTTGTCACCAATGCTTGTGCCTTTCCCGATGACCGTTCGCTGCCCGACGACACATGAGCGCGCCAAAGTAACACCCTGTTCTGCATACAAATTGCCCTTGCGGAGATCATAGGTGTGTCCGGGAAGCAAGTTTGTGTCTGGGCACAGTGGATACGTCCATCTGGAGATGATATCCTTGCTCACTGCGTCGTAGGCTCTCAGATTCCTCACTCGAGCTGCGTAGTGATCCTTGATGATGTGCGTGTGGATGGTTTTGCCGTTGAGCTCATAATCTTTCAGCACACCGAACAAGAAATGCTTTCGCGGAGACTGATAATCGAAACTATCGGACCACAAACTCAACACGTCAGGCGTACAAATATCAATATTGCAGTCAATCAGATCTTGTCGAATATCGATCTCTGCATGAGATGAAATTAGCTCGGTGTCGATAGTCAGGCGAGATGGCTCGTCAGAATGATGATCAATCTCCTCATAGTGTAAACAACGATCTTTGGTGGGATCAAGGACGAACAGAGGGGACACGGAGGAGGACTTTGTGCGATGGTTTCGACCAGCCTCGCGCAAAATCATAGTCATGATTGCATTCTTGTCTGCTTGGCGGCGAGCACGATGCGTCGCCAGTGCACCCTCAATGGGCAGGTTACTGATCACGTCACCGCTCACAACAATGAAGTCGCCGGTGATGAGGTGCTTGCCATCAAGATCACGCATAACATCTCCGACTGAAGTCGATGTTGACTTGAGGAAAGTCAATTGCTTGAAAGGCGACGAGCTGCTTCTCCATTTCGATGCACTTCAAAAGATGCCGATGGTCAGTCAACCTCCTTCAATCAAAGCCGATATCAACATACTTGATGTATCTCTCTAACTGATCTGAATGAGCCCCTCCATAGAGAAAAACCTCCTCAACGCCGGCATTGGCCAAAAATTCGAAAGTGTACTCAATCAACGGTGTGTTCGCAAGCGGCAAGAGGCACTATTGTACGTCACGTCAGCAACCAGAAAAAGATCCGTCTGGTACGCCAAGTTTTCGAAGCACACCCTCCTTCGCTAAATGCTTCAATCACGGACAACATACACGAGGCTTCTCAAGGGTAAAGGGCTCGAATCTGGTTTCGAAAGTATCGGCAAGAACCTAGAGAGCACCGAAGCATACAATCAGCCATTGTCGTCCCATCATCTAGCCAACGGCAGTGCCAGTGCGCTGGCTGCTCTGCATACAATGCACATACCACAGCCTGCAATGTCTCCTCAACCTCCTCGGTCGCGTTGCCCCTCTGCTTCGCTTGGCCACCGCCGCCTTTTTTGGGACCCATCTAGCAGAAGAAAGTGGTCAGAGCCAGCTGCGCGGAATCCGAAGCATTCCGCACTCACATTGATAATTTGGCTTTACTTGCAGCCCGCTTTTAGAATGAAGAAAACGCCGAATAGTTCCGGCTTTGAATCCGCGAGACTAGAGCCAGTGTGAAGCAGCTAGTCGATATGCAGATCGGGTTGATGGCTATCAAGTATCTCTGGCAGTGACGGCGCCCAAAGCTCACAGTAGATACCGCCCAGCGAGCTTTCATCCACAAAAATTGTGCCAAGCCCGATGCGAGGAGTCATCCCATCCCACTTCCACCCTGGGCGGTCAGCGACAATGTTTGTACTGTTTGTATTGAAATGACTTCTCATCTTGATCTCACAAGCCACACCTTCTGGTGTGCTTCAGCCTCGAAAAGTCCAGAACTTCATCCAAAGGCCTGGACCCTCCTGGACTCAAGGAGATTGCCCTGTCAAGGGGTCAGCGGTCTAGAACCATTTAAAACTGATTTGCGTCAACGTGGAGAATGCAACAGATACAGTTCAGAGAGGATCTTAGGGCAGAATTGGTGTGACGGACTCCAGATCTTTTGAAGCGGACGTAGCCGTCTTGACTGTGGACTTTATTGGAGATTTGGACTTAGCGGGAATCTTAACCACTCAGAGCACTATTACTCTTATTTAATGATATGAACACGGTTTGAGTGTATTGAAATCATTTTAATTTGTGCGTATCCTCTAAATAAGCTGTTCCCAATGTAAATGACATGATGAAGGAACGTTGCCAGACAAACTCAAAAACCCGAGCAAAAGCCCTAGGATGATCATGGAGCATTACTGGCGAGAAAATCGCATCTCACCCTTGCATGCAAAACAAGAGATCATGATAGAGAAAGATATCAGAGAACCAAGTATCAACACGTGAAGGTAAAAGTAATGCAACGATGACGGGAGAACAGCTGATGCTACACAGCGCCCGTCCAAACTTCCACCTCCGTAAGAGCTCCGACAGTGATTTGATGCATCGCTCACAAAAAACTACTCCACTCCCCTTCGTCGAATCGGTGATGGATGCGCCTATTATAGTATTTGCAATCAATGCAAAGGACCCTAAACTCCGCAAACGCCGTAGTCGCCAATCAACAAAGACCACAAAAAAAGCACAATACCGACGCAATGATCGTCATACAAGAGCAACTTTCACGACGCGGAGTCGTTGTTTGTATTGCAGAAAAAGTGGTGGGAAAGAGGTCCGATCCGTTGTATAATTGAGGCAGAGGTGAGATAAAGGTGGTATAGACCGGGAAGTATTCATGTGAAATGAACGACTGTTCTCAGCTTAGCCGGTTCGGGTAGCCTGAGCCGGGTTGACCATCGGCTGCGATGGATGAGCGTACATACGCGGTCGCTTCGCAAAATTTGAATTATCCGCCGCGCTGGACATTTCGGATATCTGCCGTCGATGAGGCGGCCGCGCAGCCCCAGCAACGGCAGTGAGTGCGACTGGAGGCGCCGGGTATTGCACTCCATTCTGATCCACGGCGTAGGCGGTTGGGGCCGCTGTCGCAGGGACATACTGGTTTTGAACCTGTTGAAGCATGCCTTGGAACTGGCCAGGCGACTGCCAATTGTTCATTGACGTGGCTGGTGATTGGCCGGGGGAGCTGTCTTCCTTGACCGAGTGGGTTGCCGAAGTTTGAGCAGCCATTGCAACTGTTGCCGTGGGTTGCGAAGTCTCCATGCCTGGAGGAATGGTCTTCAAATGAACCAAATGCTTCTCAAGCATGTCCAAGAGGCTCTTTCGCGTGAAGGGCTTCGGCAGAACATCGTCCATGCCTGATGCGCGTTAGTAATAGATTGCCAGAAACCTTGGAATTAAAGGATTGCGTACCATTTTGGAAGTAGAGCTGAATATCATCGCTTCTGATGTTGGAGGTCATAGCAATGATAGGAGTCCGGTCAAATTGGCGAATAAGGTGACATGCAGAAACCCCATCAAGATTTGGCATGATGATATCCATCAGAATCAGGTCGTATTTTGATCCATCTTGAATCTTATTCACCGCTTCCAGTCCGTCAAACTGTAAGACTGTCAGTTGCTTTGCATCCGGACGGTGAGAGAACGGGAACCGACCGCTGTGTCAATAACACAAGAGAAAGAGTAGAGAAATTTACCACCAATTTGGCGACATGTCGCATCATCTTCCACCAGTAGAATGTGCGGGCTGCGTACCCATCCAGGATCAACATTTGTGCTCTTCTTTCGATTGTCGGGAACTTGTCGGCGAGTGTCGTCCACTTCCTGTTTTGGAGGCATAGGGTATGGCACATTGTTCACATGCTCACTGTACATTGGATCAATCCCATTGGTAGCACCGACAGGGTAGACGACGGGCTCAATCTCGCCATTCATCTTGGGATATAAAAGGTTTGTAGGATTTGCGCCTACCGCTGTAGGCGGACGCACTACCCCATTCCGCGGCCCAGCCTCTATTGCAGGGTTGGGAACAACAGGAGCAGTTTTTGAAGGTTCGCCCACCGACTCAAGGCCAGCCAAATTGAATTGGACCTCGGCGTTCATGTTATTCAGTAGCTTCGACGCGTGCTGCAAGGGAGAAGAAGGCACATCGTCTACCTGTCCCCCATTCACGTTGGAACTGCCTTGTCCTTGAGCTTGGAAGGCTGCTGCCGCTTTGCTATCGCGCCTTTGGCGAGCATCTACTGATAGCAAATAATTCATCACCTGGTGAATGACATTTTCATGGTTCAGAACCGTCTTCTGAACCCTCATCAGCTCCTGCAACATGAGCTGATGATCAACCGTCAATTGCGCGTATCGATCGGAAATGTGCTGGATCTGCTGCTGCTGCGCAACGATCTGCTGGTTTAGAAGATCGATCTGTTGGGTCGGAACTGAGTCGTCAGTATTCTGAGTCTGCTTCCGAGGCGCCGGCGCCTTGCGTCGGATGTTATCAAGTGATTCCTTGCTGTTCGCTCTGAATTCCGGATGTTTGAATTCCCATGCCTATCTGTTATCAGAATTGTTCCACTTGACAGGTCAAGGTGCAACACAGAGCAACGAAGCCTTACATTTTGTCCGTATGGCGATTGGCCGTTTTCCTCGTTGTTTTGTCTGACCTTATGAAAGTCGTATTTATTCAGCTGCCGCACGAAACTGGCAAAATTGCTGTGTTTGAAATGTTTCGGAAGGATGGTCTTGGTGAATTTCTCGCACTGCGATACAGCACCATGGTCAGCTTGGAAGTTCCGATAGCGGATACGACGACGGATTGTACGGGAACAGAAGGAGGGAGCAACTGACCTCGAGGACCACGAAACTATCCCCTTCGTCTCCCCAACGAACGATTTCCGAGTACGAAGGATCTTCCAACATTCTTGTACAACAAATGAACTAGTTAGAGACATTCCACAAGGTATGCGATCCATCCTGGTGATTAACCGGTCGCAGTCGAGACAAAGCGAGGGGATAAGAAAGAAAAAGACAGAGCACAAGATTTGCCCCGAGAGAATCAAAAAAGGAGAACTCACTTGTACAGTTTCCGCACCTGTAGTACATTCTGTTAGCTTCAAAACAACGGAGATATTTATCATGCAGCTCAAGTTTCTCCTAGCAAGAAAAGCTTCATCCTTCCAGGGTCAACACTTACAAAATCGCTGGAGTTACCAGCGGGGGCGGTGTTGGTCGTGGTCTGGCCACCCTCCATCGTGGGCTAGATGGGTCGCGACCGATCGAACAAGCAACAAGCTCACCACGTCGCAGCTCTTTGGGAAGAACGGGCGGGAGATAATGAAGATCGCGCTATAACTTGCGCCGAGATGCGGAAGTAAAGGTACTGCTGGGGAATAATAGAGGAGAGAAAGAAGAAGAAATCGTTCAGGAATATGGTAGAGGTCGAGTTAGTCGGGTGTAGGTAGTTTAGTAGTTGAAAAAGGTGGTGGTGGTAGCATTTAGCAGCAGCAGTAGTTTTAGGTAGGAATAAATTGATTAGTTCGTTAGTGGTGATAAGTGGGACGATTAGGTGAGTTGTTGGAGGGCGTTGAATAACTGTTCTTCCGCGGTTCGTGCCAAAGAGCTGTGGGAACCTAGTCTTTCATTCTGACCGGTAAATACTAAGTGCTCCTTCAAGATGATTATTATTTACTTCTGATTAATGGGTAGATAGTCAATCAACATGATCAGTGAACTATTTGTTGAGGCTTCCCTTTCCCCTAAAACTGATTGATGGATGCAAGGAGAGACAGAAATGAGGGGATAAGGAGAAAAAGGGCAAGAAGAATCATAAAGGTTCTTGGGAATAATGGTGGGGACTCAAGAGGTGCTCCGTACTGCGGAAGAGGAGCAGAAATGAAAAATCAAATACCCACAGGGAAAAGCAAAAGGCGCAAATGGACTAGATATTTATGCAAAGCAACATAACATTTTCAAGTACCCAGTCCTGTGAGTTACCTGGTAACCTAGGTAGTATCTATCATTTGTCGGATCCTCTGCGTCTTTCACAGTATTAAACCTAGTGCTGATAAGAATGCAAGAATCATGGAAGCTGGTAATGTCAGTGCGCATTTAGATGCAGACAAAGAAATAATAATGGAGGGGAAGAAGTTATGACTCTGGAGTATTGATGAGGATAGGCTAGTGATGATGGTGGAGGGGAGACCTAATGCATTATGATCGTCCTAACTCCCGAGTCCTGACCGTTCCACAATATTATTAGGGAACGGTCAGTCAGATATGAGGTGTTTTCTTTATCCTCATTCATTCATTCAAGATATAAATTGTAACTTGCTGAAGCTAATTTTTCTTGTGGTCTACAAAGTATTCTACAGCAGTATGCTGGTATAAAATACTTGGCTTAGACACAGTGCCACTGTAGCTCCCTGAAAGAACTGAGTTATGTAGTGTCTAATCTTGCAGTAGTACATAGCACACAGTGTCATCAGGCAGGTAGATTCGTTCTCCACTCAAACTGTTGAGAAATAGACACATAGCGGATAT